TAGTTGTCAATTCTAACATGATTGTTATTTTTACATTTTGATTGACTATTTCGAATTTTGATTTTTGTTGATTATTTTTTGCCTAGTTTAAAATATTATCTGACTTGTTTCAGATTCAAGTTAGACGTTGCAGTGATATAAGATCAGCAAGTGTATGAAATAGAGGAAGAGAAATCTCTTCCCTTATATTACTTAGGTACTTTACTTAAGCTTCAATACCTGAGATTATGTAAATTATCATAGAAATATTTATTTATACAATTGTTGTTAAGTAAAAGTTTTACAAAATCTATGTATTTATAAATCTATGTATATATTATATCTATAAATAAATTGTGTTAAATACAATGTAAGTAATACAAAAACGCTCATTATGGCATCTGTACAATCGGGCGGTGTTAATCAGATGTGTACATGTGATTGTAATTACATGTATCTCTTTTCAGTCTTCGATTAATATTCACAAATTTCCAAATGCGATTTCCAATAATCTGCTCAAAATTGGCAGTTTATACAGTGTTTGCTAGAAGTGCAACTCTAGAAAACTTGTAAAAAAATCTTACTTTAACCCTTTCAGGACTATACAAATTGATTTATCTCTTCTTATATAAGAATTGTTACTCTCTATAAGAATTGTTACTTTTCTATAGAAAAATGAAAATGCTTTTTTTTACATTACAATTCGACGATAAACATTTGTATCACAATTCATCGAACAATTTTTTAAAATGTCTATCACATTATCTGAAACGTAAACTTGCGGAAAATGAAAAAATGGATACATAGTTTAATCTGTACGAAAGTTTATAAATATGGAAATATATATGTGAATAAATAAATAAATAAGTCTCTTTGAATACACAAAGCATGAATAATAACGATTATAAGGTAGAATCTGTTTCACAGTGTAAAATAGAGAATCGCATCACAGAGAGAATCTTGTTGGACTTAAAGATGGAAATATTTTTTTTTTAAGAGAAAAAACTCTTTATATTTGCATCCGTTCGTACTAAAAAATGAGACTGAGTTGAAAAAGTGCCCGTGCTAATAAATAGAAATCTGAATTAAATTACATATATCAAGCAGACGCATAGTATTCAAGAAAACAAGTGAAGAATTATCCAGTAAGTCGAAAGCAAACAAGCAAACGTGGAAATATGAAGTTATTTAAAAGTTAGATTCGTTGTTATTTAGTGAACAATTATTTTATTTCCTGATCTAGATTGATCGTTTGCATCGAGGACACACAGATTATTGCAATGAACCTCCGTTTAGCCGGCATATGAAACACGAATAAGAACGAAGATTGCGACACATTAGAAATCTACATAAAAATGTTGCGTTTGTGTCATACCCTGCCTGCATATAAAACTAATTCCAAACGGTAAGCGTAATGAACACTGACTTGATTTTACTGCGGTGGCCTCTTGTGTAAACCCCAGCCATGAAAGCATTTCGTAAATCTTCTAGATTCTTTACCTTTGGCAGTTAAAAATAACTTACGGGGTTTGTCAGGTTGCTTTACGCGCAAATGTTGAATGTATACCTGAAAGAAAAAGAACATATTAAATTTTTGATATTTTACATCGACCGATCCGTTTAGAATTAATAGGATTCTAAAGCGAAGCTCGAACTCCGACGAAGTCAGAGTCACGCTGCGCATCGACATGTCTTCGACTACATTCGGTTTGCATGCTCACACGCTTTAATGTTCATGTTCATAAGCATTGTTTTTTGGTGTTCAATTTGGTTTATCAGTGCTCAAATTAAATAAGTAATATCATTCATTTTGATTATTATCAATTATCAATTACGTGCTCAAGCGTTTAACGACGAAATTTATGTTTTATGCCATTTCGTTATTATTTGCTTAATTATAAAAATAACACTTATCTCATACTTATCAAAGTCGTAATTATCGACAAAAACTAAAATTATCTTGGAATTTTATATGTAAAAGCGTATTTTTTACTCATTTCAGCAAATCATATTTTTCTGCCCGAATATAGACTTACTTTACATGCCTTTTACGATCATTTATTGACTGTCAAGAAAGAAAAGAATAATTTTCATTGATTTTTATAAGTGTTTTAAAGCGATTTCATCAATTAGATTTATCCAAATTGTCTTTATTTACAAATGACATGTAATATAAATTAACGTGTCATTTCTCGTTTCTAACGTCATGATTCCAACAAGCCGCCGCGATAATCAGGAGCCTTAATTTATTTTATAAAATGTAGCATTTTTATAAAAATTATGATGATTAAACTTATATAACTTACCTGAGCTGATTTATAGGCCAGTTTGATTTCAACTTCTGAACAGCGAGTACCCAACCAAAGAAATACCTGTTCTCCATTATCGAGTATCATTATATCATCATCTGCCAAATCGTCCTACAAAAAATAACTCATGATTCATTTATTATAAAAAACCTGAAGAACTCCGATAATATACTAGAAACTATTGTTATTAATATTGAAATATTTTCCTATTTGAAATTGAACATTTACTTGACAAAAATCGGTGCACTTCTCGCTAATTGTAAAGTACCCCTTCTCGTTGGAACATCTAAATAATCTTGTGTAATTCATAAACTCTGCATTAGTATCGTAAGGTTTCTTTCCTCCAAGCGCCACCCAGAAGAAATTATCTGGTTCCTCGCCTTCGTTTAATACTTGCAGACTTATCCATGGCTGTGTTCAATTTATATTCAATTTATATTTATTACCAACAATGAAAGATAAAAACATTTTTTTATCTATAAAGTACAAACTTTATTTCGTAGGAACAAAAAAGAATATTTAAAGAGGAACACCACTCTTGAGGCCTAAAAATAATACCTAACTTTTATTTTAATTAATTTTTTGCAGTAAACTAATAAAGTCAATCAAAAATCGTTCTTAAGGACTTTACTATATGAATTTTCGAAAGTACAAAAGAATTTTTTTGAATTTTTATCACACAAAAACGCTATATCAGCATCATCGCCTCTTTTTTGGCGAGGGCATATGCGGTGTATATAAAATTTTCTACATCTTTTGATGTGAAACAAAAATCCAAAAAATTTTGTTAGCTACATAGCTAACAAAATTTAAAGCTAGAGAAGTAAGGTTATTTCAAAACATTTATTTTTGTATCACAGTAAAAAACATTTTGTATTTATGTTAAAAAAACGAACTCTTGTTGAAAGGGTTTTTGTGATGAATTTTTAACATATCCAAATGTTAATTTAATATAATGTGATTGTTATTTAAATATTTTGTTATTAAAATTTAACATTTCTCAGTTAAAATAACACAATTTATAAGTAAACAAATAACACAAAATAATGTAGTTTTAAAATAAATTCTAAGAATAAATGAATAAAATATATTAATTTTGATATATTAAATGTTAATTAATTTTATTAAAGATATACTAAAGATAAAATATGTTCTGTATAGTTATATATTTTATATGTAAAAA